GTCTTATTTCGTGGAAATGTTGGTGGAAAAACAGATTCAGACTGAAGTCACTTTTCTTTCACTTTGCCTTCGAGGGAGCTGCACATGAAATATAGAGTGCTATGTGGGAAAGAGTTTCCTTTATAAAATGGAATGAGTGTTCCATTAATAAACTGGCTGGCAATGTTGGCTAATTCATGAAATAAATGTTCTGTCTAGGTCTCATTTCAGAAGATTGAAAATACCCTTTTCATTTCATTATACTTCACCACTATGATAACGTCCTTTTGCCTAATGTGTGAATGGTTTTATTTATTTCACATATTAGGCCTGGAGGACAGTCCCAATGCGCAGTGTGATCCTTTGAATGTTTACCTGTCACATCGAATGGATGAAAAATAAAATGAATTGCTCTTGTAACAGCCTCCTCAATTTTTTTTATAAATGCCTCTTAAGATTCAGCGTATTCAAGGATGTTTACTCTGACAAGTCTACTCTGAATTTTCTGCTCTTTAGAGATGAGACGTGAGGTTGAACCCATTTTCCAATAATAATTCTGCTAAAGTTGGTAATTGCTTTTATTGGCTTTGCTGTTAACTCTGCAGAAATTCATAATGCAAATTCTGCATTCTTTCAATAAATATGAAAAATAATTTATTTTGTAAATTTCCACCAGGATTTAAATGTAAGCATTTTGTTATTGATTCAGTATTACACTATCTCCAAGCTCAGTTTATAAAAGCAACAGATAAATTTATTTATCCTTTTTTCATTTAAAAAAACTTGTTTCTTATTGTTTCTCCCCACAAAAGTCTAGTGAAGACAGAAGTCCTGCTACTAATCCTTTTATATATCTGTCTTGACATTGACTCTGTTATGTCTTTTTCCATCCCTGTGCATAAGCTACAAAAGAAGAATTGCCATCTATGTTAGCCTACTTAGCTTCTCCTTTGTTCTCAATTGGTGTCTCAAAATGTAATTTAGTAGCCAGATGCCCATTTATGCATCCTTAAAACTCTCTTTACATGCTGCTGCATTGCCCTTTAAAGCTTCCCCTGCTTGCTTTGAAGGTAAGGACTCCTGATTTGTATATATCTATGCTATCACATCTTTTTGTGTGTGTGTGTCTATTCCAATTTACACAGTGGTGGTGTGTACTGGTAAGGACTCCTGATTTGTATATATTTATGCTATCACATCTTTGTGTGTGTGTGTGTGTGTGTGTGTATTCCAATTTACACAGTGGTGGTGTGTCCCGCTTTGATTTGCTCTTAATGCTCCTGCTTTCTTTCTACTCATCAGTTATTCTTTGTTTCAGGTATAATCCTTTTCTCGCCTGTCTTCTTCAACAAGCCACTCATCAGTCTCAACTATAATCTGCTTCCAGTAGCCATCCTATTATCTGCTTTGAAGCCCAGAGTGCATTTGGGGTCTAGGCTGCGAGCCTTACATTTCTGTAAGGCTTGGGCATATTTTTAACAGCTCCAGTCTTTTGATCTGTTACTATTAGCCACAGTGCTAAGAGCAAAGGCCTCCAGAGTAGCATCTGCAATCCTTCTAAAAACACACATAAGTGTACTATAGAACACAGAAGCCACAAAATCAGTCTGTTAAGTCAAAGAATCTGGTATATTGTGATAATTCTGGGGGATCTGTGGCAGAAATGTTCAAATTTAAGCTAGAACATAGCTTTTGTAAAATGTTTCTTCCTTCTTTACTTACGTATCTAGGAGATGCCATGATTTGGTATAACTGACAAGAATCTTATACAGTATTGTATATGCATTAGTCACACCTGGGTGGAGCTGGATTCAAGAATCAAGGTTTAACAACAGGCATGATGATGCTGGAGATGGACGCAGCTTAAGTTATGCCTCATTGTCTGACTTAGATTGTGTGGCACCACAGCTACCCCATGTTCTTTCTGACTACCCCCTGGATGGCTGCTCCACTTACAAACGTCTGCATGGTGCCTGGGTTGTCTTCCATCACTAGCTGCCCAATCCAGGAAAGAGCTTGGGCTACCCTTTCCTGCTTCCTCCAGCAGCCGACCAACCGTTCAGGCGAGAAGGGCAGGGGCCGTTGAGTGGTCAGCTGCTGGAAGAGGCAGGAAAGGGTAGCCCATGCTCCTTCCTGGACTGGGCCGCTGGTGACTCTGGATGACCCACGTGGTGCGCAGAGGCTTGTGAGTGGGTCAGCCTGATGGGGGGTGGGGTGGGGGTGGACGGAGGGAACGTGAAGCACTTAGACAACACATTTTAAAAACTCTTCTACTCTGTGACACTCTGGCTTCTCTCTCGCTTTGCTGTTGTGTTGAATCATTTTCTGGCTGCTGTCCCCTCTGAGTAAAAACAAACATTCAGGGGAATGGGTATATTCTGGTCTTACACACGAGCCCCATGGCGCAATGGTTGTACTGCAGTACTGCTGTCAAGTCTCTGCTCCTGACCCAAGTTTCGCCTCAACAGGATCAGGTAGCCAGTTCAAAGTTGGCGCAGCCCCCAACCTTCGGATGTTGGTGAAATGAAAACCTAACTCATTAGGGGGAGGCAAAGTGTTCCTTGCCTAGTTATGTTGTAAGCCACCTAGAGAGTGCTCCAAGCACTATGGGGTGTTATATAAGTCGAAACAATATATATTTTCCTCCATCAGTGTGATCTGTGTTGTATGTATCTTAGCAGTCAGTCAGTCAGAGGAAAGCAATGTTTACATTTTAATGGTCAATCACGCTTCTGCTCTCAATAGAGGCAGTCACTACTGTAACAACTGTTTTTGTCTGTGGCGACCTGTTGACAAAGAGGACAGGGTTCTCTGAAAAGGGAATTTCAGCAGGTGTAGCTTTTAAGGCAAGCTGCACCTGCTGGAATTTCTGCCTCCAAGGAGCTACTGAAGATACAGAAACCCTGTCCTCCTGATCCTCAGGTCACTCCATGCCTGGTCGCTCTCTCAAGTCTTTTATTTTATTCATCTCCCTTGACACACTTAATTGTGAGCAGTACCACACCTCCCCCCCACTCCCACTTTAGTCTCACTGCAGCAGTGGCCACGGTTGCTGTGTCCCTTCTTGGTGGCAGCTAGTTGGTGGAGTGGGTGTGAGTGCTGGTCCCCTCTTCTTGTTGCTTTGGTTGTTTGAGCCACTGCAGCAACCTCATTCTCACCTCTTTCTGGAGAAGGGGCAGGAATGGGCATTACTATTGCCCCCGCCATGACCATCACGCCCCCCTCCTCTGGGATGCTACTGCTGTGGCAGCAGTGATGCGGGCAGAGGGATTGTGCTCTCTTTCTGGCCTCAGGCACTGGAACCACTTCAGCTGCCCCAGGAGTGAGCTATAAAGTACTTTGTGGGCTAAGATATCAATACATAAATTCTGGAAGCTTGATTTCCCCTTTCCTGATGAACGGAACCCTTTCTTGTTTGCCATTTTGGCCAAGTCAAGCTCCCCACCACCACCAACATCCAGCTACTGTTTTCCTGATGGGATTCTGAACTTACTGGTAGGGGAGGATGAATAATGGGCACAGTGTTCTGAGGCAACATCCTTCTTGCAAGGGAATAATGCTCAAATTCCATCTAGAAGCTGGAAAAATCAAAGTGGACACAATAGGCTTTCAATTACTAGTGAGACTGATGCCACTTCGAATCAGTCACAGGCTTTTCATGAGCACAGCCCATTGTGGTAACTTCTCAACCATCTGAATGTTCCAGTCATAAGGTCTCTGCAAGATGAGATGCTGTGGCTGCCTGTCTTTCCAGCATTCTCATTTCATTGTCACAAATTGCAAGTTTCTGATTCAAGTCCTCTCCTCTCCTGTCAAGATCATAGCAAGCCCCTCATTGCATCTCTCATTCCAGCAGTCTGCAGAGCTCTTGTCTCAGTTAAATGTAACCATGAGCAAAGGACACACAGAAGCACAGCATGTCAGGAAGCTCAGAGAAAGGCAAGTACACTTATTCGCTCATTTGGAAAGGATGGACATACAATTTTCCTGATGGATTTTGGTCTTCCAAAAGACTAAAGTAGAAGCTCCCATTTTCCAGTCCAGGGATATATGACAGAAAGATTATTCAGCTTTTTTTCCCTTTGCTAGTCCTGAAAAATAAAAAAGCATCTCCAGAGGGATTCCCACATGCCATAGAAACATGTTCTAAACACACACCTATACACACTTTATGAGAGGGAAAGCAAGATAGGCTTTTTGAGCCACAAAAACCTAGAGGGAAAAGGTTTAAGCAGCCCCGCTTCCCTCGTTTCTTCTTCCCATAGGACAGCTTTACGAATGAAAAAGCTTTATTGAACTTGGTATGCACTGGGGTTCCCAAGGTTACAATCTCAACATGTCTTGAAATCAGCATGGAAATGAAGACTGAGAAAACCTTAACTTTCTCTTTAATAGACAAAGACACATTTGGACACTTCCATGTATAGCTATCACATCATTTCCTGCCCGAGAGAGGCTTGTATTTGAAGAGTCAAACAGGCAAAATGATACAGGAATCTAGACAATTCAGTCACAATTAGAGAGGTTTCAAAATCATAGTGCATAATGTTGTCTACCATGGAGTAACTTTATAGAATCCAAAGCACTTCATGTCTCATTTTTAAAAACTGTAACTACTTTGAAGAAATTCTTGAAAAATTGGTATGTAGAAATTAGGGTGTGATCAGATGAACATTTGTTTCACAGTTTGTTCTGGGAACAGGATGGGCTGGTTCACTCCTTTTTTCCAGCAACCACATGATGTATGTGCTGTTGCAAACCAGCCTGCCTCTGATTGATGCCTACTAGCACCTTTTTGGATCTACTGTGTATGTGGATTTTTGGGGGGGGAAGACAGGTAAGATCACTCCATTTTGATTTGGTTCATGTTTGTATGATTGTTGGTATGAAATGAAAGTAGCTGCCTGGCTGTCTCTGTGCAGAAGCTGCTGAATGATCTCGAGACATGGGAAGCTTCTTGGTCATTTGCCTACAGAGGGGAGGGGAGAGGAAGTTTTCCATTTCTTTTAATTGTTGCTTACCTCCAAGACATGCACCCATGGCCAACGAAAATATCAGGGGCTTCACAGGTAAATTCACTTCAGGATCTTGACTCAGGTTGAGAAGTACAGGGATCTGCAAAGAATAAATTAAATGAATAATAGAAACAACATTGTTAACAGTGAACACTGATCACCTTTGATGACCAGTTAGAATGAAATAAAGTGAAATCAAACTGTAGACTAAGGAACTTGGTGTTTAACATTTTATTTCGTCTGAAACTATGATGGGGTGGGTCTCAGTTAGCAACTTAGTCTTCCTTGAAATGTTTCGAAAAAGCATATGGTACAGTTTTCAAAGACGGCACATTTATATGCTTTCTCATATCCAAATCCCACCCCACCCCACACACACAAATTGGAAAGCTAACATAAAAATGACCAGGATCAGACTCCTTGTCCCTTATATGAAGACACTGATTTTAAAAATATAGAGAGACAACATTCAAACATGAAAGGCTGATAAATAGCCTTATCTTCTCCCACCAAAGAAGTTGTAAGCAAATGAATGGCTCTTAAGGTCTTAAGAATCCTTTAAATTCAGAATAAGGATCTCTGGCCCATAAGCCAGATGTAGCCCAGAACATTCTTCTGATATTATCTCTGAAAAGTGATCAGAGATTTAGAAAAGAAATAAGTGGCTCTTCAGAGTCCAAGTAGGGTTTTCATGGAAGTTTTTCATGGAAGCCCAAGAACCACTCATATGACCTTGCCCACTTTGCTTTGTTCTTGCCATGTACTGCTGGCAAGAACTTGCCCACCCACTGCTGAAATATCGTCTCCACCATTTTCTTCAGATTGGAATGTGGCTTCCAGGCTGAAGAAGTTCACCATCTTTTTCCAAGACTGAAGCTGACAATATGAAGACACACCACCTCGGTTAGAACCAACACCAAGGATTATAAGCACTTCCTATGTAAGCTTATCTGTTTCTGTTTATCTGACCAATTGATTTTGCCTGAGTCACAAAGCTCTGGGCTCTTAGGACTGATCGCTCTACCTATGCCACCCTTGCAATTATGTGGCTGCCTTGTCAATGTGATATCTATCACTGTTAGCCTTTAAACCCTTTTCCTTTCTATAACAACAGAAGCAACAACTGTCTAAATTCTGCATTAGAATATCATGTAGGTCCTTTAATGTACTGTATTTTGTCAATTTAAAAGCAATGAAGAAACCATAGCTGCACCACCTTCTCACTATAGTTTGTGCTACACAAGTGAAACTCACCAGCATTCTAAGACTGCAACCCACAAGGTAGGATTTTGAGCATGATTTGGTACTAAAGTGAACATGTAGGAAGCACCATTACACACATGCAATGAGAAAATATTTCCAGGTCCCAAGATATGCTCAGTACTCCTGTAATTATTCTTTTCTACTCTGTTTTACTTTGTAAACTTTGCAGAATGACCTCAAGTACACCATATTGCTCATTTACCTGCTAACCTCCCCTCAAGCGAAATATCTGTTAGCAAAGTAAACAGCATCTAACATAACATACGGATTCAACTCCTGAATATCAGAATGGTTGGTTCTAGGTACACTTGCAAAGACACAAATCTCCAGTGTAAGCTGAGTGCACCCAGTTATCCACAACAGAAACATCATCTTGCACATTTTCACAAAATAATATGGTACATTAGAGAGTAGTATACAAGCTGAAGTATCAAAGACCAGCAGGAGACATAAGGCAGAAGGAGAAATCGCTGTGCTCCATCCTGCCAAGGATTGCTGTTAACCTATTATGAATTGGGGCATTTTGGAAAAACTGTGAGGAATCTAGACAGCAGGCTAGGGACTCAGTTGTGAACTTTCCCTAAGATCCTTAGCTGAAGCCTTAGCCTAGACTCCTGGCCTTGCTGAGGTAAAAGAATGATGAAGCTCAAATCTAGAGATATCTATATAAAAGGTGTTCCTAAAGAGAAGCCTCAAATTAAGTGTGTTGGTTATTTTGACAAGACTAGCAGAGACCTTGCCTTTTACAAGGAGCTTTAGGGGATGATTCTGTTTTTTCTGTTTAGGTAAATAATAGATTTTAAATGTCAGGCCATCTTAAATTGATTTTTAACTCTAATATTTTATTCAATTGCCAGTTAATTTTGTCCTGATTTTATGGTGACATTTGAGCAACTGTTTGACAGGAGACCAAGGTTTAAAAAATGTAAAGCAGGAGCAGCAGCAGCAACAATTATTTGTTTAATTTATTAATGTATTTATTTTATTTCTGTGGTGCCTTTCTCCCTGTAAAGGGACTTGTGAAGACTTCAAGCACACCATATTACTAATATCCCAGCCTTTTCTCCTATGCACACATTGCATTTGCCACATATTCACAGAATATGCAATGTTAAGTGGCACAATAGTTTATTATCGTGTTTTAACAAAAATGTGAGAAAGAGTGATTTGATGTAACAATTTATAGGTTCTAGTAATAAAGCAAAAGAATATAAACAGATGGCTTGACATATGCAGCCCACAATAATGGCTTATTAATATTAAGAACATGTTAATTGCAAAAGAGGAAGGTGCATGTTGCAGAACATTCTAGGAACAGAAATGCCTATTAAGTTAATAACACCAAGAAGCTGTTGGTGTTAATTAATCAACAAATAGATTAATTTTAAATCTGCTCAAGAGCCTCTCCACTTTAAAACTGCAATGAAAATATCAGAAAACATTTAATTAAACTTAAACCACATCTTATGGGATTTATCACATTTTTTCCTACCTCACAGTGCCAACTGAGAACTTATAAACAGAAAAAGCAGCTTTATAAAAGAGAGCCCATTACAATATTTGTATTCACATGAGAGCTACTTCTAGTACATTGCTCGAAGATAATTGATCTTGTCATTGCATGTTTCTTACAGCATCTGGGCTGCTTCCAAAAGATCCAACGTAAGTTTTAAAAATGTGCATGAAAATGTTGAACAGGCAGCAAACTTGATTTGAAGAATCAAGGACTACCCCTAGAGTAAAGACCACATCTTCCTGGAGTTAACTGAATGTTAGCTCTTAATTTGACTACAATTGACTGTGTCTTGCCAAGTATACAAACTACATTTTATCTCAAGCTTATTTGATATGTATTTGCCACATTTCTGTGTGCTTCTGTTCCAAGAAAAAGAAGAGTCATGTGGTTCAATATAAGGCAGGGCGGGGGGGGGGGCTGCTGAATGGCTGTCAGTCCTTTATCCACCAAGATTGGGAAGGACAATGAAATCTGCATCACCTGAGGTGAACCTAAAACCTACTACTTCAAGATGATTATACAAAGTTGCAGACTCCATTTTTGGAACCCACTGGCCTCAGCATCTGGTCATGATGATATCTGGGACTTTCCTGTTTCATCTGTACCCCAGCCCAGTCCTGGCCCAATTAAGAGACCTGTTTCTGAGATTTTAGTGGTCTAATAAGCATGCTGCCACCCTAATTTTCCAATCGTGTAGAAGGATCACATGGCTTTTCTTCATTTTTGTGGATTCAAAAAAGTACTGCATTTTTTTATTTCTTTGTGACTCCTGCTCTAACAATCTTTTTACTCGAAGAAGCAGCTCACTTTTGGTGGAAGAAACAGTTAAGCAAACCTCCAGCTCCACACAGGGCTGTGCAGAGTAAATACGCCCCCCGTTCTGTTCCTCAGAAGCAATATAGACAGTTTCTGGATTCAAAGGAACAATCCCTCTCCTTGAGAAAATAGATGCTTGAGCACAGAACCCTTCTCAAAAGCTAGCATTATCCATTATTCTCTACACACCAGAAAGCAGGATGCGTTAGCAGTTTTCCCGAAGGAGTCACATTCTTTTTCAACTGTCTAATGGCCAATGATTGTTGGTGTGTGTGTGTGTGTGTGTGTGAGAGAGAGAGAGAGAGAGTGAGTGAGTGAGTGAGTGAGTGAGAAAGAGAGAGAGAGAGAGAGAAGAGAGAGAAGCCAGTGGTATGATTCCCATATCTCTGGTGCTAAATTACACATCTGCAGTACATAACTGAATTAAATATATTTAAAAACAAGTTCACGGTTAAAAGCACACCATTAAAAGTCTGCAAAATTATGCAGTGCAATTAAGGTGGCTCCTCCAAAAGGCACCCATGTCTTGTTTTTATTGAACTACAACTACTCTCTTCTCAAAGCACTATCAAAAGGAACTCCTTGGCAATAACATAATGTAATATGCAGAAATACTTTTCTGTAAATAAGAATGTGGGAGAACTGAAAGGAAGCCTGCGATCACCGAGGCATCCATATGTGCAAAATGGTAGTTCTTATCTGTAGCCCAAGGAAGCAAAGACAAAGCAACTTACCATTGTAGCAGTGAATGGAATATTGTCAATTAGGGATGATGCCAGAGCAGAGACCCAGAGGACTAAAATGATAGCAACCGTCAAGCGTTGGTCTTCAGGCACCGTCTGGCATTTTATAAAAAGAAGAGAAATAAATAAGTTTCTGTTTCCAGTAAATTGAGAATAACTGTCCTAGTGCCTGTTGCCCTGTGCAGACCTGCATCTTCAGGCCATCTTTTGCAGCTCGTGCCTTGTCCCTCTGGGCCCAATTCACATCACCTCTGCCCAGCCAAAGGTGAAAGGTAAGTCTGGATAGATGCCCCCTTGCTCTTTCTTAACTTGGAAAGGGCAGGCAAACAGACAAGCAGCAAGGAAATAGAGGAAGCCCATGGGCTTGGCCGCAGATCCCTGTTGCCGAGACAGGGAACTCAACAGATACCAAGTTAGGCTGACCCTGATATCAGCCCACAGGCACAGTTACAGTATATTGTTTCCTTTCTATGGATGGGGGGGGGGATATACTTATAATGTCATCTGAGCAGGGGGGGAAATTCTTATCAGTTTCCTATGAGATGACCTTATTGATCAAGCTAGAATGAAAGAATTAAAAACTACAGTTTTACTGTCCAATCCAAGGTCACACCGGGGTGGTGGGAAGTGAGAAGTAACAAAAGGCTAGACACAATTTTTGCACCCCTGACAACAGAAAATAAGTATTACTTTAACATAATTTCCCCCAATTCTAAGAGAAAAAATATATTATATTAAACTGTACCTTTATTAACAAAGCTGTCTGTTCTCCTATGTATTCTATTAGATGAAGATGAGCCAATGCCTTGTTTAAAAAAAAAGATTTAATTGTAATAATTGTTGAAAACGAACACTCTGAACTGAGATGCACAACCTTTTTGGTCCTCAGGACATACATCCAGTGTTGCTTGTAGATCTGGGTCACACTTAAGAGTGCATGCACTTGTACACACATACATGTACAGACATTCCCCTACACTCACATTCATGCACACACACACTCTACTAAGGCATTAGAAAGTCTGTAAAAATATTTGCCCATAGAGAGGAGCACTCTGGACCCATTCCCTCTGTCCCCAATTGTGCCAGTCCTCTATATATGGGAGATGACATCGATGAAGGCTCTCTACATGAGACTGAACCTATGTTTACCAGGGTCCCAACTCACAAGAAGAGCCCCCTCAGTTGGCAGAGGCTGCTCCTCTTAATATGCATCACCATCTATGTGTAGGAGGGTGACAGAAGCAACACGAAAGACAGGCAAAGACAGAACACTCTACACACAAGTATTCCTTATCGTTTTGAATCCACAATATCCTGACTGTCTTCTCCTCACCTCATTATACCTACACCTTCCCACCACACTCCTCAGAATATGAGAGTGAGGCAATTTCAATCACTGCAGTTTGAGAGAAGCTTTTCAGTTCACTGCAATATCATTAGTTTGTCAATTTGAGTATAGATGGAAAAAAAATGAGAAGCCAAACTCTATTCATGTAGCTTCTGTCTGAAAAAATAGTGCACTTCTGGATGCTTTTTAAGAACTGGAATACAATTCATTTTACTCATAATTAGGTAAAATCTTTAAAAACATTTAACAATTGGTAGATAAACTTTTATAATAATAAATAAGTTAAACTGCTCAGGTATCATGTTTCAAATTTATTTTCAAGACATTTATATTTCCCTGAGGGTGGAGGTGTCTTAAGATTTCTTCAAACAAATCCAGTTGTCTAGAAAACTAAATTGGGACTACTTCACACATTTTCTGTCATGACCCTTGTAATCTGTGGGTCTGATGGCAATTTTAATTGTATTTTAATTGTATTTTAATTATTTTATCTTTTACTGTGTTGAATTTTAATTATTGTAAGCCGCCCAGAGACCTCTGGGTAGTGTGGGCGGCATATAAATAAATAAATAAATAAATAAATAAATATATACCCACTCCTCTCCAACATAACTGAATATAGTATAAGCGGAGCAGACGTCAGCTGTATTCAGACATTTGGAAATTGTGTTTACTTGAAAAATCTATGTCCTGATTCCTGTGGACAGCCTCCATAAATAGCAGCAGCACCCCTCTTCAGACTTATTATTCTTTATGTGGAGGAGAGCAACAATACAGGAAACAGAGGGGGCAGGGATAAGTGCTGCTCTCTCTCTGTAGTTAATAGACACCATTTCTGAAAGACTGAATAAGTCTAATGTCTCTTCCCATTCCCATGCTCAGCTACATGGGAGAGTGCATGGGTAGATGAGTGAGGATGATTACAGGAGACACAAGAAAGAATGTATGGAGTAGACCCAATCTAATCTACTATATTTAAACAAAATTATAGAACATATTGGCCAAAATCTTGTTGTGTAACTTATGCCAACATAAGGAAGTAGATCCCCATAATGATTCCTTGTGGAATTCCTCATTGTGTACAAGTTGGTTGGCTTCGTGCATGGCCCAGTATCCAAATGGAGAGTCTCACAACAGGATTTGGGCCGATACATATTAAAATGAATAAACCAATGAAAAAGCACATTTTACAGGTTACAAATGCAACATTCTCCCATTAAATCCCCTTCTGTGGTAACCAGTTTGCCAAAAGCCTGCCCGAACAGAAAAGGTGTTGAAGGACAGCCGGCAAGGGAGCAGCCTGGCTTCCTTCGGAAGGGAGTTCCACAGCTTGGGAGCAGCCACTAAAAAGGCCCTCTCCTGGTAGTGCAACTTTGACAAGGTCCTCTTGGAATATGGAATGGTTTACTTAAAGGGACACAATCCTTCAGATAGCTTGAACTCAAGTTGTAGGTCAAAAACAGCACTTTAAACTGTGCCCCCCCCCAAGCCAGTAGTCACTGAAGCTGTATAGCAAGGAATTTCAGTTCTCTATGTAACCAGGTCCGAGTCAGCAATCTGTTAATACTTTCTAAAGCCAGCCTCACATAAACCACACTACAGGGATCTAAACTGAATGTATCTGAAGCATGTGTTGCTGGAGCTAGATTGGTACAGTATCTGCACCAATGAGCGCAGCTGGTTCATCTGATTTAATTTCCCCAAAGCATTCCAAACTATTGCCAAGATGTGGGGATTGAGGCTCAGAGATGCATCCAAGGGTACCCAACTTGTGAATATGAGTTTTCAGGAAAAGGTAACCCCATCCAGCACAGGCTGAATCTCTGTTCCCCAATCTGTTTTTCAACTGAAAAAAGAACATTTCTGTTCACCTGGATTAACCTTCAATTTATTTGCCCTCAGCCATCCAATCCGTCAAGTTCAATGTTGTGTTGTTGTTGTTTAGTTGTTAAGTTGTGTCCGACTCTTCGAGACCCCATAGACCAGAGCACACCAGGCCCTCCTGTCTTCCACTGCCTCCAGGAGTTTGGTCAAATTCATGTTGGTTGCTTCGATGACACTGTCCAACTATCTCATCCTCTGTCATCCCCTTCTCCTCCTGCCTTCACATTTTCCCAACATCAGGGTCATTTTCAGGGAGGCTTCTCTTCTCATGAGATGGCCAAAGTATTGGAGCCTCAGCTTCAGGATCTGTCCTTCCAGTGAGCACTCAGGATTGATTTCCTTCAAAATGGATAGGTTTGTTCTCCTTGCAGTCCAGGGGACTCTCAAGAGTCTCCTCCAGCACCACAATTCAAAAGCATCAATTCTTCGGGGGTCAGCCTTCTTTATGGGCCAGCTCTCACTTTCATATATCACTACAGGAAAAACCATAGCTTTGACTATGTGGACTTTTGTCGGCAAGGTGAGGTCTCTGCTTTTTAAGATGATGTCTAGGTTTGTCGTTGCTTTCCTCCCAAGAAGCAGGTGTCTTTTAATTTCATGGCTGCTGTTCAATGTTAAACTCTAATAAATCATATATCAACAACTCAGAGTAGAAGGGAATTATCCTTAAACTAATATTTCTTTACTTCCAATATTCAAATTAATTGTTTAGCTGTTTTCAGGTTGTAGGGGTGCAACTATACAGTGAGGAAAATGTGAATTTACTCACATTCTCTTGCTGTAAAGATGCACCAGATAATTTTGGTTTCCCCAGGTTTCTTTGCATTGACAGGCCACACAGGCAAAGAGGAGAGCCTTATCTGCAGCTGGTTGCAGTTCTATTTATAACCCTGCAGGTGACACCATTACAAAGGAACAACCTAATAAGTTATAAACAAGGCTTCTCTTCCTCATTTCTTCATCTCACTATATTTTTTTAAAAAAGAAAACTCTTGCTAACAGAGAGAAGCTTTGCTCTCTATTTTTAAGCTGTACCAAAAAAGTTCAGTCCTGACCACAGAGAGAAGAGCAGCTGTAAAAAAAAAAAGAAATAGTCTTGCTAATGGAGAGAGGGAAAGATGTAAGTGTGTGCTAGGGTGAAGGCTTTTCTGCATTACTTCAAGTAATTGCACATCTGAGTTGATGTGAATGGATCCTTTACTAAAAAAAAGTAGTAGTCCCAGTGGCAGAGGCAAAAACTACAGGGGGTGAGGAACTCCAGGCTGATTTGCATTAAGTGGCCAAAATAAAAAATGTGAATTTGCTTGTCCCAGTCCTGGAGCATTTTTTTTTTCATTTTTATCAATGTGGTTACCTCCTAAATGGCAAATCCTACTGACCATCCTCTGATTTCTAGTGGGATGTGATTTATGCTACACAATCTCAACATAAGGCCACAACTGTAAACCAGTATTTTAAATGTGTGCTTAAATGACCAGAGGGGTCTTGCTTTGCTTCTGTTTTTCTCTCACAAGACAAGCACACTTCAGCACAGGGAAATTCAGGGTGAAATTTCAGAACTCAGGTTTGACTGAAATTCTTTCAAAGAGTTCAAAAACAGATTCAGCCCACATGTGGTAAAGGGAGTATGCTGCCACTGCCATACCCCCATTTATGTTCTGACTGCGCTGAAGGATGACTGTTTTTCACAACAACCTGATTGTGCTGAAAAGCAACTGATTGTCATAGCACATGCTCTTCACAGCTCTTGCAGTCTGCACATGAGGTTGCTTTGTCACTGGTAATGAAGAAGTAAACACATTTTATTTCTGAACATGACTGCTGAAACACAGAGTTCCTTCATAATCTTGTCTCTAGAACACTACTGTAATTTTAGCTTCTCAAACTGTGTTATTTGTAGCTTAGGCTTCATGGCCTAGGATAGGCTGACCTAAGTTGCCCCCGGTGAGGCACTATGTACTTCCTCATTGGGAAACTTCCTTTTCTAGATATCTTTCACCACTTGAGGCAGCACACTACCAAAATAAAACTTATCAACCAGTTTCACCTTACAACAAACACAGCTGCAAAACTTGAAGACCTACACTGCCACCTAAATGTGAATCAGCAACTTACTGACTGAATTTACTGATACAGTAAGTATTGCATTGCTCATAAATGCATTGCTCATAAATGCATTGCTGTATTGCTCACAAAAGCCTCTTCCCAAATGCATTTATGAGCAATACAGTGTAAATCTGCTGCCTCTTTGTTTTGAGTTTTCCTCACCACTCCAGGGGATGAGAAAAGAGCATAGAAAACAAAAAGAGGAAATGTCTGCAGTGGCATATAAACTGGAATAAGCAACCCAGATATTTCTGGCAAGAATAACTATTTTAAAGTAACCTTAATTTTTATTTTATTTTATTTATATCCCGCCCATCTGGTCTATATGACCACTCTGGGTGGCTTCTAACATAACATATATACAATAAAATAGAAAAGGAATATTACATGAGACAATCAATAACAAATACAATACAAAAATAGAGTAAATAATAAATAGAGAGAAAAGAAAAGAAAATCAAATGTTGACAGGAGGGAAGGCCTGGGTATACACCCATGTTTTTAGTCGGTTTTTAAAGGTCCCTGGCGTGGGGCCGCGTGAATCTCTGGAGGGAGGTTATTCCAGAGGCGAGGAGCCACCACCGAGCCACCGCCGAGAAGGCCAGATTGTCAGCAGCTCTAACCTGTTGAGGTTTCCTTCTCCATTTCTGCATTAAGTCAAAGGTTAACTACACCCAACAAGAGATTGTTTAAGGGAAAAATAAAACCTAGAAGTCATCAGCCACTGGACCTCTGCAAAATGTGGTGGCACTGCGTGTTAAACTGCAGAAGCCTCTGTGCTGCAAGGTCGGAAGACCAGCAGTCGTAAGATAAGCAGCCACCACCGAGCCATTGCCGCCAGCTCCTGCCAACCTAGCAGTTCAAAAGCATGTAAAAATGTGAGTAGATAAATAGGTACCACCTCGGTGGGAAGGTAAGGGCATTCCGTGTCTAGTCGCACTCGCCACGTGACCACGGAAACTGTCTACGGACAAATGCTGGCTCTACGGCTTGGAAATGGAGATGAGCAGTGCCCCCTAGAGTCAGACACGACTGGACATTTGTCAAGGGGAACCCTTACCTTTACCTTATATCTAGGCTGAAAGGAATTAGTGCAGCCCAGCTGGTAAGAACATCTCAGCAGAACTAGAAGGTTGAATTGTCAAACTTCCTAGAAGAAAATTGGACTTCGAAAGTTTATTCCCTAGAAAGAATGACTCAAACATTATGGACAAAACCTACCTAAATATACTTTACCAGACTGAAATAATAAGAGAACAAAATTAGCACCTCTATTGCCATAGTTGGTGTCAGCCTGATTCGCCTGCCTAGACAGACCCAGGAAATCACTGTGTTTATGTGTTGTTTTTATGGTAGTAGTGCACAGTTAGTAAAGGGCTGGGCAGAGTGGCCCCTGAGGCTGTTTTTGCAGCCTCCAGACCTCCCTCAGGCCCACCTTCTTGTAGTGAATCCTCCAGGAGTGGTGATTCAGCTTTTAAATAGGTCACAAGGTCCCCCCTGCATGATTTAACACCCCCCAAATGCCCCCCCTTTTTCCTAAAACTGGAATCAAACTCCTAGCCACTTCTTTCTTTCTTCACTCCTTTTGGCAATCTCTGAGTTTCATACTTTGAGCCCCTGAGATGCATCAAAGTTGCCCCCACCTGCTCTATTGTATCCTAACAACTGCAGGTCATTCTGCCTTCTGTATCCAGAGGTCTGGTGATGTAGCTTGAAGGATAATCACATGCTGCCCATGGGAAGATGCATTCCCCACCTCCCCATTTTCTGTTTCATATTTGAGCACCAACACTTCATGTAAGACAGATCAAATTCATGACCAAAAGCCCAGTCTGTTTTTACAGACAGCTGTTTGGAGAGTCAGAGGGGTGTCACTAGAGAATTCACTCAGGTTTTTTTAAATCACACACACTCCTCAATTGGCAGTGCTTCTTTTTCTGCCATTGACATAAAAATGCAGGTACCCGTATTTCTTCTCCCCCAACAAGACTCACTGCCTCTTGGCAGGGATTGGATATAGATATCAAAAATGGAAAAGTGGGGGAGGGAAAGGGATCACTTCAGAGCCCATTCTTTCTGCAGCTGTTTTCAAGCAAAATTTAAAGCATTTTGTCACATCATCCCGTTCCACATAAAGCTTGGTCTTGATTCTAATACAGTACATACATTCTATTTAGGATTATTATATACCACATGAGGTAAAAATATACACCAAAGATTGCTCACTCCCTGAGCCCTTCTCAACAGAACTTTTTTTCTGTTCTTCTCATTATTTTTATTATTTTATAGGCTGCTCTTTCACCTCACAGAGGATTTTATCTCTTTTTTTTCTCCCCTTCTACGTAGTTGTCTTTTCTCCTGGAGTGATGGAAGTATTGTAATTGGTATACAGGAAGCTCAGTAGAAGCAAATTTCCTGATACAAGCTAACAAAATAACCAGCAAGTAAGTGCACCCACACTAGCAGTTTACTGCTGGCACTTATTATTGGATGTCTTCTTACAGATGAAGTATTTACATCCAACCAGAAATAATTGGGTCTTGAATTTTGTTTCTCAAGCAAGGAACACCAAGAGGAACAGCAGCAGATTACTCATGAAATACAGACAGTAAACAAGCAAGCTGGGGCACTTTAGTGTTGAGTAAACGATATGCTGTTTGAAAAGATACACAGAAGCAACCCTTTACTGCTATACATGCTGCATAGACCAAATTACATATGTACTGATTCCGTTCATCTTGAGTCAGCCAAAATCTCAAGAAAGGTAACGTTTCCTGAGATGAAGTCTATTTCAGGAAGAAGGTGGAAGAGTAAAGTTATGAGCAGGAATGAATCCAGGATACTAACAAGAAGAGCTTGCATCTTATTTCCTGTTTCCTTCAGGGTTGTTGTTTTTTTTTTACTTATTCTGATGTAAACACCTACAGAGCGTTATAAGATTAGAGTTCAGCTCTGTTTCATAAATAAAAGCAATACAAAAGGTTATGAGCAAAAGACTGAAGTTATGAGCACGACTTGTCTCAATCCTTATATAACATAACTTTACTCTTTTTAATGCATCCAAAATATGGAGTGAGGTGCAGACTGCTCTGAGCTGCTTTTAGTCATCTTAAAGGATTCATATTTTATAAGGATGATGATGCAGCAACAAGCAAACTATCAAGCATGAAGGTTCTCTTTTAATGTACAGGTACCTCTATGTTAAAGGTTAAATACAAATCATGATCATGCTATAGTCTTTCTAAGTTAGTCTGGCTAATGGTACACATCTTTATGGGCCATTGTCCTATTATCTCATACTAGGAACACTTATACTTTACTGGCACATTGCTACCATTGGAAACAAAACTACGCATTAGTCACTTTGGGAACCCCAGAGGGCAGAAAAGCTATAAACAAACAGTTTAAATAAACAAATACTAAGATTCTTGTATCTCAAGACAAATGTATCAGGAGAATGGATGTTACTGAAACCAAATGAAAAATGTTCTGTGACTGTTTTAATTCAACACATTTTTGTAGAGTGAGAGTTGGCTTTCATGAATTGGTGTACCCAAAATAAATCTCTGATAGAAAACTGCACACATGCATGGGTTTCTGTGGAGGTTAGAAAGGAAGCACTTTCCCCAGGAATCAGAAATGTGTTTAATATTCATTAGTTATTATTTGAGTGTACACAGCTTAAAATGATGCTGTGATGAGCACTGTCCACGTGAGCTATTCTACCATACTATTACATAGCTTTGCTTACACGTACCAAAAAAATTCCTGCAGGCATTCTTGCATGTCTGTATGCCTAAATGCTGCTACTGCATTCCCAAGCTTCTCTGCTCACTTCAACACACAGGACAGTTCCCCATGCATAACTCTTTGCAAATATGGATCTAGGGAAACGAGAATCTTGCAGGGACAGCAGCAGTTCTTTGCATATAAGCATTTTGGCACTTGCTAGGACCTAATAAAGCTAAAAACATGAATGTTTGCTTGTCATCATAATACAGCTATCCATCCAATCATTTGCAGCCTTGAGATTGACCTCAAGATTACTTTCTATGTACTACAGGTAAAGTCGTATCTGGAAGTTGGCAAATCACCAAATCGAATATCTACTATTAGAATGCTTAAAATACTAACCACTATTAGAATATTTAAAATATAATTGCAACAAATGCATAAGCAGTTTCTTTATAGAAAGAAAGATCCAATTTTCTGTGGGTTGTGTAAAAATATGAATTCAGATATTTTCAATGAAAGAAAATGCACCAATATAACGGTAGATTTATCTGTGGCTTTGCTCCAGAATCATTATGTCTGACACCTTATGTAGTTCTTTAAAAAAAAAAAAAAAGAGGCAGTTAATACGAAATATATAGAAGACTTAAAAGGGGACACCAATCCACATCAATACTATTTTTGTGGCAATATCAGGATACTGTAACAATGCCAAAACTTTTTCACAAGGATAAACTGAAGTAGCAGCAAGAAGAAAACAAATGTATAACTTTATAGCACAATCATAGAAACACTAAAAAGTGTCAAAATGATCTTACAGCAACACATTAAACTTTTCACTGTATCCCATTTCTGCATCAGAAAATCAGTGGAGTGCTCTTGTCCCAGCAGTAAACAGAAAACTGAGAAAAGAGACCCAACTTTATGAAGAGGAGCTTAACTTCCATATCTCTTTGGTTTTGGTGCAATGACCATTAACAACATCCTCTTCTGCATGAGTTTATGCAAAGACCTCCTAAGTCACTCTTATTCTTGGACCCATATTAAAAACAAAAATAAGGAAGGAAACAAAATTAAAGGCATCTCTTTAAGGGAAAAATCTTCTTACCTCCATTAAAATAAACAGTGCTGCAAAGAAAAGGAGAGTTGCCCATTCCACTCTGCTCAAAATCATCTCAAAGTCATGAATGTTGGCCAACACAAGAAGCCATATAGCTCCCAACATAGCAATCCACCCTGCATAAAAGGAGGAAAAACTGTGTGAAGGCAACCCTTTAATTTCATATTTCACTGACATAAACAATTTGTATTACATAAACATTGCAAACTAATTTATGACATACAATACCACATATGTAGAAACAGTGTATGTCTAGATTTGTCACTAATTCCTTTTTCTGGCAGGCTAGCATGTTATAAATTCAACAAAGGGAATAAATATCTCCCACCTCTGCTGTTATCACACATAAACAACAGCATGTTGACTTAAAAAAGCATGAAAGCCAGAATAAAAAGGGCAATTTCATGAAGAGGCTCAGATTCTATCGTGGCTATCAGTCCCCACTTGGAACAACCAGCAAAATGGTTGGATTTATTCCACAGTTAGGAGAAGCATTATTTCAGATTTTTTTTAAAACTGTGAATCAAAGTTTGGTTTGCAAATAAAAATCCAGCTGTGAAGACTATATACTGGAAGATCTTAAAGGAATCTCTGCAATCTCTGCCTTCAGCATACTATGTTAAATGATAATTGCAAGGTAAAAACCAGCTGGATATAATCTGGAAAGGCAGTAAATATATACTGTGCATTTCAAACAGTCAATAGAAAGGGTAGAGATGGGCACTTACCATAGTTCAGTGGTTTGGTGCAGTTTGGTGGATCGGGCCCGCAGGTATTGTGCAAGCACCCCAGATTCCGCGCCCTGCCTTCTCCTTTGAGCATCCCATCAGAAGCCGCCTTTTCCTACGAGTGGGCACCTATGGAAGGACGTGCGACCTGGAATCCAGGGAATTCATGCAACACCTGTGGGCCTGATCCTCTGAACGACAGTAAGTGCCCATCTCTAATAAAGAGCTTTTTATTATTATTACAACTTTCCAAACCATGCCATGTCAAGAGAAACCAGAAAAATCTAAGTTTTAATGCTTTGTTTATTTGTTTTTTCGATACCCCACCTTTTTCCTTAAAAGGACCCAGTTTGTTCGATACCCCACCTTTTCCCTTAAAAGGACCCAAGGCAGCTTACATCATTAAAAACACAGTATTTAAAAGCTAAAAACAGGAAGTAAACAAATAATTTTTTTAAAAAAGTAAAGAAGTATTATAGTAAAAACAGGAAGTAAACAAATATTTTTTTAAAAAAGTAAAGAAGTATTATATGAAAAGCAGCAAATAAAGGCCACAATAAAAACACATGTAAAAGCAACATAGCACAACAATCCATTCAAACCCCTCCCCCTTAGCAAAGGTAAAATTGCTAAAATATGTCTTAAAAAGAAAAGATACCAGTATGTGACAGCTGCTAGATCATTTTACACAAACTGTTCACAAATGGTTCCCACCATGTGTTTACCAAGGCCACTCTGTGATCACTGTCAGGATCCATTTCGGTGGAATAGAATCAATGGTTGCCCAGCAATAGATTCATATAAGCACCGGGGGAAAATGGAGTTTCAATGGACATTTATTACATTGTGGTTTCTGTGAATCCTAAAATGCCTGCTGTGCAAGGAGTTTGCATATATATATAGTGGAGTGCCAACAGAAAAATATATGTAGCAGCAATCACATTGGATCTCTGTGATTTCTGTACTTTTAAATATAAGTGGGGAAAACATTAAGGCAAAAATTTCTCCAAGGTATTGTGTGAATTACTGTGCTCAGCGTCAAAGCTGTATTTCTCAAGGAAAACATTCAAATATAGAGCTATGAAAGAACATAATTGAGAAAGATGGGAAAAGAAAGTTTATTGTAACCGCTGCGATCTTTTAAGATGACTAAGAAGGATAATAGATAATAACTGTGTGTTGTCAAGTCAATTCTGACTTCTGGCAACCCCTTCCATTGTTTTCTAGATAGAAAATACTCAGAAGTGGTTTACCCTTCCCTTCTTCTAGAGGCATCCTGAAACTTTGCAGCTTGCCCAAGGCCACCCAGGCTGGTTCTACTCGCAGGAGGCACAGCGGGGAATGGAACTCTCAACCTCTGGCTCAGCAGCCATATGCCTAAACCCATTGAGCTATATATAGGCTGCTCTTCCTGACATGCTGGCTTTTCCCCCCTTGGCTCACATCCAAATAACAAAATGTTTTTCAAAAATCATTCTGAATCTGGAACAAATGCAATATAGTTACAGTTTGGGATGATGGTTTATTATTTAATAATAAAACATTAAGGATATAGTCATGGCATCATCTGTTAAAAGTTTTGACGACATTTGCCACAAAGTCAGAGCTGTTCGAGTGCGCTTTATATACTGCTGGCATACAGGGATGGTTAATATGAGGTTATTCGGAGGAATGACCTGACTGCAGAAGTAACCTAATTGGCACTTAGAGCAGCATTGCTTTTGAAGCACCACGAAACTGCAGTGCCCCAAAGAAAATTGGGTCACTTTTACACAAAGACATTGGTTTTGCCCCAGCTTCCTCTATGACATTTCCCGAAGAGGACGAGTGTTCCAACCTGAATACCATAGTTCTCTATCAGAAATTGCTGCTTCCAGGACTGTCTTGTTTGCTTGTTTGTTTGTTGTTGTTGGGGGAAGACCCCTGAAGATTTGGGCTGCTGTGGTAATTACTTCCAGGCTCGGGCATTCCCTTACCTATGGACCTACAGCTGGCTCCCTCCCAACTTCAGCAGGATTTGATATTCAACTAACAACTGACTTTTAGTTGGGAAAGGACTTCAAGTTGGTAGATGTCTTAAATTTGCTTTTGCTTTCTGTCAGTCTCTTTCCACCTATGGGGTTATGAGAATCAACTTGTCAAGGTAGGTGAGTTGTTTCCACAATTGTTGATTTGTGTGTGTGTGTTCTGTGTCATCAAGTCGGAGCCAACTTATACAGACCCTAAAAGGGCTTTCAAGGTGAGATATTTAAGGAGTGGTTTTACGAGTCCCCACCCCGCAGTGAGTTTCCATGGCCAATTGGGGATTCGAACCCTGTTCTCCAGAATCCTAGTCCATCACTCTATCCACTACACCACACTTGGAATCTACTATTGTTACCACTCAACAATGTGTTTCTATGGCTGAGCAGCAAATTGAATCACCGTCTTTTGAGTCTTAGTCCAACACTGAAGCCACTATATCCTAGATGTTCTGTTTAAAGTCCAGTTTTATATTTTTAATTATTGGCTATCTTGAGTCCCATTCGTGGGAGAAAAGTGACCCATGCATAGAATTAATACATTCAGCAAATAAATACACACAACATTCTTAGAGAGGAGAGGCCAGGATGGTGGCAAGTTGTCTGGCCTGAGTCTGAGTCTTGGGGCCCAAGTCCAAAGTCCAGGTCTCAGTCTTTGGGTCCAAATCTGAAGCCTTGAGTCCAAGTTGTTTGTCCTGCCCCCAAGGGCTGGTACTGGGGCATAGACCCAAAGACATGGACTACATGCCACTCAGTTGATATTCAGGCGCATGCGCAGAGACAGCGGGTTGACTTCCCTTCCCCAACTGGCCCCTGCCTCTGTGCATGCCTGCCTAACAGCTGAGCAGTGGGTGCCCGGGCGCAGGCAGCAGGGATCCTAGAAGGTTAGCCAGGCCTGCTGCCTCTGAAGATGGCCACCACCACTGAGAAGAAGGTAAGAGGGGGCACGTATACTATTGCCTGCTTTTGGAGTTGATTGATTCTCTTTTGCCTCACTTCTCTGCTTTTTATGAGAAATTTTTAAGGGTTCTAAAGAGCTTAATTTAGACTAGTGCCAGGAAACACAAATGGGAAAACTCAGAATGAAATCACTTGAAAAATACTTTTTCTTTCATGTTAATTGAAAGGCTTGGCCTGCTGAAAACACAAAAATGAAAGAAAATAAAAGAGGTGCCTGAAAAAAAATACCTGTAAGGAAGGAAATAGAAAAATTTTCACCATGCACATCCACAGTCTATACTACTTCTTAGAAACCTAGAATATAATCAAAGATTAGGAAATACCCCCTGGATCTCCTCTGATCTGAAAATAAAAGTTTCATCCTCCTCAAAACCAGAAAAAAAATGGGTGGCTTCCTGAGCCAATTCAAGGTTTAAAAGCTAATCTGTGCTGCATTTTGCTTGTAAAAGAGGGAGGAAACGTCAGAAGATTGAAGCAAAAACCCCCAGAGTTCTATGTTTGTCAACTGACTTTTAAAGCAAGGATATATCAGAGCTTAGAAGAGATACACTGGCCATGCTGGCTGTTTGATTCTAAAATGTGTAGTTAAAGAAAAAAACACCATAACAAAATGACCTTTTCCAAGCTCTGGATTAAATAAGACAGCAGCAGGCTCATCGCTTTAAATGCAGGTCTGCCCCATTCACACATAGAGAGATTAAAAGCACATTAAAGATGTTGGACATAATCCTATTGCCCTGCCAGCATAAATGTGTCAGCATAAATCAGAGCTACAAACTGCTCCTAGTGAAGGAGTTGCCACTTGTATTCCTCCTTGTGTGCCGAATCAAGTGTCTAGCATGCAGGGAGGAATGCAAGCAAGGACTCCTTGGTTAGTGAAAAATTGCAGCTGTGATTTACACCATTGTATGTGTGTGTGAGAGAGAGCTATAGGATTCTGGCTATTAAAGGCAAAAAGTATGCGAGTGCAGAAAACTGAACTTCTATAGTCTGCCGCTCAAGGTGAATTTTTCCCACTCAGGTTCACTTCTAGTACTGAAGCCAGGCCAAAGGAGATGTTACCTCGAGGCCAGATTAAAGACTGAAGAAAGTCAACATCAGAGCCAGTTCTACTATTAGGTAAAATTTGGCACCGGCCACAGGTGGCATGTTAGGTAGTGTCAGCAAGATTTTGGAAGAGAGAGCTGCGTGTCACATTGGCTGCACTGTGTCTTCTAAGCTAGCCTGCCACCTTCTACTGTGTGCAGAAGAAGGATTCAAAAAGAATAACGTTTCAAACCAATCAGCTTTAGTACATGGAATAAGATCCTTGCTCAAGCAGCAAAATGTCTGGATTGCCTTTTTCAGCATTTATATGTCCCTTTTGCTGTTGCATTTCAACACACACACACACACACATACATAGAG